GGGAGGCGAAGGAGCGGGAGGCGAAGGAGCGGGAGGCGAAGGAGCGGAGAGAGGGAGAGGGAGGGGAGAGAGGGAGAGGGAGAGGGAGAGGTGCCAAAGGGAAGAGGACTTTTCAACCTGGAAAAAATGAAATACTAAGATAAGTATCTTTAAGAAATCACCTGAGGCAATTCATTCTTTGCACATGAATATGTAGCCTTCAACTTAAGGAGACATTAATTTTGAAGCAACTATATGATAAAAACATAGTGGATTCTATTGCAAAGAACACTGTCAATTGTTAAATTTTAAATCTGAAATTGAAAGGAGATTCAATCAAAAGGTTACTTCCTGGTTTATATGCTCTAGCATTGCAAAGCAAACACATTAGCTGTAACCTCACCAGTCTGTGGAAGGTGTATTTAGGGTGATGACCATTTGTGTGTAGAAGTGCATGTCAGTCATTTGCAAAAAACTTTTGTTGTTTACTGATGTCTGTTGTCTGGCATCAATTTAAATACCGTGTTTAGGAAATTAACACGTTCCTCATGCGCTATGGCTTCAAATTTAATGGAGTGTTGATAATTAGAGTATAGTGACAGTCTTCCAATTCTGTTTGTCTGAGAGTTCAAATACCCTACATATCAGCTCAAATACAGGATGCAATTCTAATACATAACTGCAGTGCCAAATAAATGAGTTAGTGAGAATTAGAAAGGAGCCTCCTGAACATCAAAAAGGAGCAGTGGTGGTGGTAAACCAGGGAGGTGGTTTGCACCATCAGAAATAGGAGCAGAATTAGGCCATGCAGCCCATGGAGTCTGCCGCACAATTCAATCATGGCAAATATGTTTCTCTACCCTTCTCTCTTGCCTTCTCCCCGTAACCTTGATCCCCTTACTAATTCAAGAACTTATCTATCTCTGTCTTAAATACACTCAATGACTTGGCCTTTACAACTTTCTGTGGCAGAGAGTTTCACAGATTCACCACTGTCTAGCTGAAGAAATTCATTCCCATCTCAGGGCCCTATTCTTTCCTACGAGTAGAAACACCTCCCCATTCACTCTAGCCAGGCCTTTCAGTGTTGTGTAAGTTTCAATCAGATCCTCCCTCATTCTTCTAAACTCCATTGACTACACACCCAGAGTCCTCAACCGCTCCTTGTAAACCCTTTATCCCCAGTGTTACATATATAGTTATGTCTGTAGTATGTAAGTCCTGATTCCAAAAGGAGCACCAACGTAACACCCAAGATCATTCTTGTAAACCTCCTCTGGACTCTCTCCAATGCCAACACATCTTTCCTTAGATAAGGGGCCCAAAACTGCTCACAATATTCAAAATGCAATCTGACCAAAGCCACATACAACATCAGCAATACTTCCCTGCTCTTGTTCTTTTAGCCCTCTTGAAATGAATGCCAACATTGCATTAGAACATAGAACATAGAACAAAGAACAGAACAGCACAGTACAGGCCCTTCGGCTCACGACGTTGTGCCTACTAAGATCAATTTACCCTCCATACCCTACATTATACTATCATCCATGTGCCTACCCAAGAGTCGCTTAAAAGTCTCTAATGTATCTGACTCCACTATCACTGCCGGCAGCGCATTCCACACGCCCACCACTCTGTGTAAAGAACCTACCTCTGACATCTCCCCTATACCTTCCTCCAATCAAAATTATGCCCCCTCATAATAGTCATTTCCGCCCTGGGAAAAAGTCAGTGACTATCCACTCTACCTATGCCTCTCATCATCTTGTAAACCTCTATCAAGTCACCTCTCATCCTTCTTCACTCCAATGAAAAATGCCCTAGCTCCCTCAACCTTTCCTCATAAGACCAGTCCAGGCAGCATCCTGGTGAATCTCCTCTGCACTCTCTCTAAAGCTTCCACATCTTTTCTGTAATGAGGTGACCAGAACTGAACGCAATATTCCAAGTGTGGTCTAACCAGAGTTTCATAGAGCTGCAGCATAACCTCACCGCTCTTAAACTCAATTCCCCTGCCAATGAAAGCCAACACATCATATGCCTTCTTTACAACCCTATCAACTTGGGTCGCAACTTTGAGGGATCTATGGACGTGGACCCCAAGATCCCTCTATTCCTCCACACTGCCAAGAATCCTGCCATTAACCCTGTATTCTGCATTCAAATTCGACCTTCCAAAATGAACCACTTCACACCTTTCCGGGTTGAATTCCATCTGCCACTTCTTTGCCCAGCTCTGCATCCTGTCAATGTCCCGTTGCAACCTACAACACCCCTCCACACTGTCCACAACTCAACCAACTTTCGTGCCATCGGCAAACTTACTAACCCACCCTTCCACTTCCTCAACCAAGTCATTTATAAAGATCACAAAGAGCAGAGGACCCAGAACAGATCCCTGTGGAACACCATTGGTCACCGAGCTCCAGACTGAATACTTTCCACCTACTACCACCCTCTGTCTTCTATTGAACAGCCAGTTTTGTATCCAGCCAGCCAAATTTCCCTGAATCCCATGCCTCGTTACTTCCTGAATGAGCCTACCATGTGGAACCTTATCGAATGCCTTGTTAAAATCCATATACGCCACATCCACTGCTCTACCTTCATCGATGTGTTTTGTCACATCCTCAAAGAATTCAATAAGGCTTGTGAGGCATGACCTGCCCCTCACAAAGCCATGCTGACTATTTCTAATCAAACTGTGCTTTTCCAAATAATAATAAATACTATCTCTCAGAATCCTCTCCAATAATTTGCCCACCACAGCCTTCTTAACTGTGAAGTGAACCTGCAAATTAACTTTAAGAGAATCCTGATTCAGGGCTCCCAGTCCCTTTGCGGTTCAGAGTTCCGAAGCCTTTCCCCATTTAGAAAATAGTCCATGGCTCTATTGTTCAAAGATCGTGTGGTCACACCCACTCCCGAGTATCCCCAGAGGACAGGCTGGCTGAATTCTAGTGGGTTTAAGGCTCTCCGTGGCAGATGGGCACCAAACGGGCTGGAGTGCATCATCAGCCTGAGAAAACTTACATTCATTTCATTTTCTAAACTTCTGTTCATGTTTTTGTTACAGTGCCCCTTTAAGGAATTGTTCACCTGTTAGTTTGTTCATTTGATGACACACAAAAATATAAAAGAAACATTTTTCTTGCATGGTTATGTCCACACCTGTGTAACCTCTGGAGGGCAGTACTGGTGGTCTGCTGGTGCCCTCAATGACTAGTAGGGCACCATGTTGACGCGGGTGGGACATGGGTAGTCTGGAGCTACACTATCGACTTAAGCGTTGATTGTGAATTTGTCTATTCATTAATGTAACAGTGAATTCCAGAGCATTAGTTGTCAGTGGCTGGGAGGCAGACTTTTAATACTGCATTCTGTAAAACAAACCACCAAGAAAGGGATTTGTGTTTGGTTTAAAACTTCACTCTTTGCCTTGGGACCAATTTAACATACTTTGTCCGTAAACATTACAAGCTCATTGGTGGGTGATGTGGATGCGAGGCAGTGAGGCACAAGATGCCTTCGGCAGTGGAATGGTGAGAAAGTTCAGTCTGTGGATGACCCAAAGCTGGATGGGAGGGTGACCTGTCAGGAGGATACAGCGTGATTCGGACAGATTAAGCAAGTGGATAAATGCATGGCAGATGAAGGGAGAGGTACAATGAGACCCGAGTGTCTGGATGTAAGGACCCACGTGCAGCAGGCAGAGAAGGTGGCAAATTAAGAATCTAATGATGACCATGAATCCATTGTCAATTGTTGGAAAAACCCATCTGGTTCATTAATGTCCTTTAGGGAAGGAAATCTGCCATCCTTACCTGGTCTGGCCCACATGTGACTCTAGACCCACAGCAATGTGGTTGACTCTGAACTGCCCTCTGGGCAATTACGGATGGGCAATAAATGCTGTCTAGCCAGGGACGCCCTCATCCCGTGAATGAATAAAGAAAAAAAAAATAGTATGTTCATCTTCATAGCAAGAGGATTCCAATACAGGAGCAGAGTGGCCTTGCTGCAATTGTACAGGATCTTGGTGGGATCGCACCTGGAGTATTGGTCTCCTTATTTGAGGAAGGTGGTTCTGGTAAAATAGAGAATGCAGTGAAGGTTTACCAGACGGATTCTTGGAATGGCAGGACTGCTGTATGAAGAGAGATTTGATTGTTCAGGAACCACCCTACCTGGCTAAAGACATGGCCCAACCTAAGACTTCCCTTGGGTCTCACTCACCACTGTCACCCATTTTTCCCAACAACTCACTGGTCCTCCAATCTCATCCAGCCCCCACCATCCCGGGATTTCGGACAGCTTGAGGGTAGAGACCCATAGGGCAGTGAAACAAAAAGGAGCTATGAGGAAAAAGACATGGAGTCAATGGTTATCAGACCAGCTGCTGTCTCATAGAAGGGCAGAGCAGATTCGTTAGGCTGAATGGCCCACTTCTGCTCCTAGGTTTTATGGCTTTATTAAAACTTCAAAGGAAACTTATCCAATTAATGTGTTATTCCCAGGTCTGATGATTCATTGGTAGTGGAGGGCCTCAAGTGTACTTTGTGCTCGCTCTCTATGGACCCTCAGGTATGTGTTGAACAACAGAGGGGTAGGTAATGAGACTGAATGACCTCTTCAACTAGCCACAGCCTGGACCTATTAATGGTTATCTTGGCCAGGTGCAGGAGCAGACCCACAGGGGAACCTTGATGAAATGTGCAGAGATTGGAGCAATCGATGCCCTTCATTTGTGTAACCATAACATTAACATGTAGCAAACATACAATTAGCAGATCAGAGCCACCTATGGTGTGCACCCTTAGTTCAAAATTGCATTCAAATGGCAGCTTGCATTTATATAGCACTTTTCACGACCACTGGATGTCTCAAAGAGCTTAAAAGGCATTACGATATTTTCCGAAGTATAGCCACTGTTTTTTCTTCTCTCATGAGACCCAGGACAGCATTTGTTGACCATCATTAAATGCCCTTGAAATAGGTGGCTTCCAATGACTTTTCTAGAGGACAGTTAAGTGCCAACCACATTGCTGCGACATAGAAACCACAGTGATCAATGTGCACATTGCGAACAGCAGTGCAAGGGTGTCCAGATAGTCTATTGTTTGTGATAACGATTGAGGGCTAGGTTTTTCCAGGGTGTAGGGTTTAACTTCTTTGAAGTAGCATTGATGGATATATCACACTCAGCCAAGCAGACAGATAAAGGCCTCGGTTTTAAATCTCATCCGAAAGACTCACAAGGCACTGCATTGTACTTGTTAGGGGCTATTCTGGTTGTATCTCAGCAATAGCGACACAGAGCTATGGCTGGGCTCTAATGTTACTGTACAACTTGGTCAAGCAGGACAAGGGGACTATGATTGGTTTGGTTTCAAAGGTGACACTTGAACCATTCATTCTAATCAACCTTCCACCTTTGCATTACTTTTAAGGAAGCCTGATGTACATTGAACAATAAATAATATTGTTTAAAAGCAATTCAAGCAGACAGAGTGTTACACCAATAACAATTGTTTTCCAAAATCACGGCCATTTTTCTCAAGAGACAGCTGTGGATCAGTGGGCAGGACACTCAACTCTGAACCAGAAGGTTGTTGTTTCGAGACCAACTAGAGAGTCTAAATGATAAAAATTTGAATTGAAACTGCCAGGGCATTACTGAGGGAGTGCTGCACAGTTGGAGATGCGATATCTCAGTTAAGACATTTAACTTAAACTGGTCCGCCCTCTCAGTTGGGCAGCAAATTCTCCAACAACACCAAATTAATTAGTTGATTACCAGATGGCGAAAAGAAAACTAGATTGACTTGTCTCTTTGCAACCAGCAAAATTGGTATGGTGCAGAAGGAGGCCACTCAGCCCACTGTGCCTGCACTGGTTCCTGCCTTTTTCCCATATCCCTGCACATTATTTCTATCCAATGCCCTCTTGGTATGCTTCAATTGAACATTCTCTCCACATGTGTGAAAAAACAATTCCAATGTTCCATCCAACACAGATTTTACATTTAAGTACAAAACGTTGGGTGGTACGGTACCTGGCAAATTATTTTCCAGGGCTTCAGCCATCATCATATCCATCTCGAGCTGTAAAACATGATTGCAATAAAAAAAAACCTCAGTTTTACTGATCTGGTCCTATACATAATCATTCTCAAATAACAACTAAACTGGCACAGTGCACGTGTCCAGAGTTCAACAAAATCCAACCTCAGCGCCATCCAAGACAAAGAGCGCTCCTTGATCAGCACCTCATTTCCCTAGCACTGGGAACATTCACTCCCTCCACCACTGACACTCTGTGGCACTAGGGAATAAGTGATGTGGGAGTGGGGGGAGCACATGCTCCTAGTGGACATCCCCTACCCAACATCCAGTCCCTCAGTCACACACTGCACATCTTTGATTGAAGGACCCACACCCCAGGTGACTGCCTGTAGCTGGGTTAATCCCAGCAGCAACAGGCCAAGGCCCTTTAAGCAGTCCTTAATTTGCCACTTGAGGGTTTTAACTGGTAGAAGGGCAGGAAGTTTGACCTTGGGCCTTCCCAGCCAGAACTTGGCAACAGTAAGACCACAGTGGATTTTGAGTACACCACCACCCCAATTAATTAAATGTCCACCTGCCAAAATTAGGACAGCTGTCTCACCGACTAGTCAAGCAATGGCCTTGAGTAATCATACTCATCGAATTATGCCTTACAGACCATATTCCAGATATCACCATCACCCACCTGCAGGACAGACCCAGCAGAGGTAGCAGCACAGTGGTGTACAGTCAGGAGGGAGTCACCCTGGGAGTCCTCAACATTGACTCCAGACCCCATGAAGTATCATGGCATCAGGTTAAACACAAGCAAGGAAGTCTCTTGTTGCAGGAGGCATGGACACAAAGTACTTGGGGTGTAGAACTTCGATATCTATCACCAAGAAAGGGCAATAGAGTCATACAGCACAGAAACAGATCCTTCAATGCAATTCATCCACGCCAACCAGACATCCCAATCTGACCTAGTCCCATTTGCCAGCATTTGGCCCATATCCCTCGAAACCCTTCCAATTCATATAACCATCCAGATGCCTTTTAAATGTCGTAATCATACCTGCCTCCACCACTTCCTCTGGCAGCTTGTTCCGTACACGCATCACCCTCTGTGTGAAAAAATTACCCTCAGGTCCTTTTTAAAATCTTTTCCCCCCCTCACCTTAAACCTATGCCCTCTAGTTTTGGACTTCTCTACCCTGGCTATTCACCCTATCCATGCCCCTCCTGATTTTATAAACCTCTATAAGGTCACTCCTCAGCCTCTGAGGCTCCAGGGAAAAAAGCCCCAACCTATTCAGCCTCTCCCTACAGCTCAAACTCTCCATCCTTGTAAATCTTTTCTGCACTCCCTCAAGTTTACACCATCCTTCCTATAGGAAGGCGACCAGGATTGTATACAGTATTCTAGAAGTGGCCTCACCAATAAACACTGGCCTTGCCACATCCCATGAATGAATACAATGAAAACCTGTGCACCGACTCTCAGTACAGCGGTGGTACAATTTACAAATTCTCTTCATTGTTTGCAAACCCCTCTAGGATCTCTGCTTTACTCCAGGTCTTGTACATACCAAATTTTAATTGCTTCACTACTGATGGCTGTGCTTTTAGCAATGAGTCCGCTGAACATGCCTAAACCCAGCTCTTTTCCCAGTTTTTTGGGCACTTGGCAGTGATGTCACGTGTTGCTTAGTGTCAAAATGTGTCTGATGACACTTCTGTGATGCACTTTGGGACATGTTATAATTGGCCAATAGGAATGTTGTTGTTGGGAAGGTTCTGCAGGCTGCTGCTCAGCCCCATCATCTTCACCTGTCCTTTTGATAAAAGACAAGTTCTGCTCAGAGCTTTCTCAACAAAATCTAACTTCACTTCGACAGAAGTAAGAGGCTGCCATCTGCTGTCCAAAGCAAGTTCATCAAACCATCTTTTGCAAACTCACCTCTGATCCAACCAAACCCATGGAGAAAGGGAGTAAGAGACTGATCTCAGCGCAACAGAGTTTCAATTTCAACACATTCCATAAACCAGAATTTGGCCAAAGTTCTGCTGCCTAAAATGGAATCACTCATTGCCTCCACAGTGTGGGTATGATGGGCTGAATGGCCTCCTTCAGCACTGTAACAATTCTGGGTTTCTGTGCTCGCTGACTGCCACAGATTTCTGATGAAGTAATGCTGCAGTTTTAAAGTTCGCGTCTGTGTTTTCAAATTCCTCTGTAGTCTCTATCTCATTCTATCTCCTTGTAATCTCCAACTCCAACAAGTCTGATTCGAAATCACTCCACCATTGCCAAACACGCTTTCAGACACCTCAGCCATAAGCTGCAAAATTCCCTGTGAATCCAACCTCCCCCTTCTCTCTTCCACCCCCTCTTCCTTTCAAGTGCTGATACAAATAGATTGCACATCTTCCTGTGAAGTGGATCAATCTGATCCACAAGCCAAAGATTTTCCCAGATGTTGTATTAGTGGTGACTGCATAATTTCTTCACTCACAGGCCATGGATTCCCTCACTGCAGGGGAAGGTGAGGACGATGTGGGAGAGTATCTGCTGTCATCTCTACCAGCCCCTTCAATAGCAATTTTTTTCCCTTGACTGGCCTCAGTGGTAATTACTCTGACTCCAAGGAGTCAAAAGATTGGGAGGTTTAAGTCCTACACTAGAGACTTGACCACAAAACTCTAGACTATCAACCACCAAGTTCAGTACTGAGTTAAGTGTTGCATTGTCAGAAGCTCTAACTTTCAGATAAAATGTTAAACCCTTGAGTTAATAAATCCAATGGCAACAAAAACAACGTTGCTGGAACAGCTCAGCAGGTCTGACAACATCTGTGAAGGATAAAACAGAGTTAACATTTCTGAGGAAGGGTCACCGGACCCAAAACTTCAACTTTGCTTTTTCCTTCACAGATGCTGCCAAACCTACTGCGCTGTTCCAGCAACTTTGTTATTGTTCCTGATTTACAGGATCCACAGTTCTTTCGGTTTTTAATCCGATGGCAATATTTGAGGAATGGGGTGATCTCTCCTAAGTCCTAGTTACCCCTCAACCAATACCCAAAATGGATTCTGAAGAAGAGTCATACTGGGCTCAAAACGTTAACTTAATGTTTCTCTCTCTCCACAGACCTGCTGTGTTTCTCCAGTAATTTCTGTTTTTATCTAAAACGAATTATCCGGTTGCTATTACATTGCCATTTATGAGGGCTTCCTGTGTGCACATTGGTTGCTGCTTCCCACATTACAACAGTGTCTTCACTGTAGCAATACTTCATCAAGCATCAAGCACTTTGTGACGAGAAAAGGTTGTGAAAAGCACTACATAAAAGCAAGTTTTATTCCACACCACCAAATCTAAACCCTCTCCTTCTTGAAGTTACCTTTAAGTTTTCCCAAGCTGTGATTACACATCTGTATCTCAACACATTTGGATTGTGTTGACCTTTGCCAGAACCTCCAGCATTTTTTTTTGCCAGATGGACATGGTTCACATCCAGCTGAAACTGGAGCATTTCAGGTTCCTGTACAACGAGCGGCTATTTCCTATCTGTACCAATTGGCTTAGCTCAGAGAGGCGTGAATTATTCAGCCACATTGACTACGCAGTCCATTGCAAGATGTATGTAATTAGACACAACCGCTGTCCCTTCACCTTAGACCTGCGATTGTTTCTCCTTTTTAAAACAAATGTCCAATCACCTCTTGTAAATTAATATCTCTCCAATACCTTTTCATAGCAACTCACTCGAAAGGAAAAAGGACTCATTTCTACCGGATCTTTTGCAAATGACCTTAAAACCTCTCTGGAAAGTTGTTTTTTCTGAAGCAAAACAGAAGGGTAAGTCTCCTTGTTTAACAAAAGCAGATTTTAAAATTTGCTGAAACACCCCACTACATTCTGTTGGTAATGAACTGGTTGTACACCCAATCAGAAAACTGAGGAGATATCCTCATCTTAAAGTAAGTACAGTCATTGTGGTTTGGGTGGTGGGACACAGGGGATGCAGCCTTCCATCATCAAAATCTGTTTAAAAAATTCTTTCACAGGATGTTGACATCACAGGCAAGGTTAGCATTTACTGCCCATCACCCTGGAGAAGGTGGAGGTAAGCTGTATTCTCAAACCACTGCAGACCTTGAGGCGTAGGGACATCCACAGGAGGGAATTCCAGGATTTTGACCCAGTGACGGTGATGTATTTTCAAGTCAGGATGGGTGGTGACTTGTTGGGGAACTTGCAGGTGGTGTTCCCATGTATCTGCTGCTCTTGTCCTTCTAGATGGGTAGCAATAACAGGTTTGGAAAGTGCTGTCTATGGAGTTGCTACTGAGCCTCAGTGGTGAAGGGAGTGAATGCTGTAGGTGACGGAGGGTGTCAAGCTTCTTGTGTATTGTTGCACCTGGACCCATCCAGGGAAGTGGGGAGTATTCCATGTCTTGTAGATGGTGGACAGGCTTTGGAGAGTCAGGAGGTGGGTTATTGTCTGCAGTATTGCTAGCCTTTGAGTTGCTCTTGTAGTTACTGTGTTTACGTGGCTAGTCCAGTTAGTTTCTGGTCGATGGTAACCCCAAGGATGTTGATAGTGGGCAAAATTCAATGATGGTAACACCATTGCATGTCAAGGGGCAACAGCTGGATTATCTGTTGTTGGAGATGGTTATTGCTTGGCACTCACGTGGTCCAAATGTGATGCTCGACCAATTCATTTCCATCAATTAAGATTTCCATGACCCCAAGTTAAACACAGTAAGGGTATCAGATAATGGCTAATTGGTATTGGCTTAGTGAAAGGAGACAGAGAGTGGTGGCAGAAGGCTGTTTGTGTGAGGGAGGCTTGTGTTCAGTGACATGCCACTGGATTCAGTGCTGGGTTCCCTATTTTTCATGATAAGTAAGTTTTCAATGACAAAGTCTGGCCAGGTGGTTGACATTGAGGAGGATGATTACAGGAGGATATAAACAGATTGTTCAGATCAGTGGCAGATGGATTGAACCCTGATAAATAGAAGGTGATGCATTTTGGAAGAAGGGTCAAGACATGGGAGTACTCAATGAATGGCAGGAAACTAGGAAGCTCAGAGGAATCTTGGGTGGTTGTCCACAGTTCTCAGGAGGTAGCTGGACAGTTTAGTAGGGTAGTTAAGAAGGCATACAGGATACTTGCCTTTATGAGTTGTGGCACAGATAAGTGCAGGGAAGTTATGTTAGAACTGTACAGTACTTTGGTTAGGCTGGAGCTAGACTACTGTATGCAGTTCTGGTCACCATAGTGTAAGGAAAATGTGACTGAACTTGAGGGCATGTAGGACAGATCCATCAGGATGGTGCCAGGATGGAGCATTTCAGCCACAAGGCTGAGCACAGGCTTGATATGCTCGAGTGCTTTTATTGGAAGAGAGAAGGGGGGATCTGATTGAGGTGTATAAAATTATGAATGTATGGACAGAGTGAATAAAAGCAGCTGTGCCCCACAGTTGAAGGGTCAATAACAAGTGGCATAATTTCACAGTGAAAAACAGCAGTCTTAGAGAGGATTTGAGGAAAAATGTTTTCACTCAGAGGGTGGTGGAGGTCTGAAATACACTGTGCCTGGGAATGTTAAATTACCCATAGTGTCGAGGGTGGGAAATGCAGGGATAGGGTAGGGGGTGGGTCTGGGTGGGATGGTCTTCAGAGGGTTGGTGTGGACTGCTTCCACACTGTAGGGATTCTATGATTCTATCTAGCTGAGGCAGGAAACCTTGCAATCTTTGAAGAGTACTTGGATGAACTCCTGAAGTGTTGTAACATTCAAGGCTATGGGCCTAGTGCAGGAAAGTGGGGCTAATGTAGGTACAGTAGTAGTATATTTTTGATGGTCAGACTGGATGGGCTGAAGGGCCTCTTCTGTACTGAAAGATTCAATGATCAAGGAATTATGGAGTAAAAATGGATAAAAAACAGAAAATGTACAGGATCAGTCATGCTCAAATGTCATGAATTACAGAGCAAGAACAGAGAACAGGAAAGCCTCATTCTGTGACAACATTCCCCACACCATACATCTGACAGTTCACCAGTTCCTACAGAGTCACTCTCAGCACTGAATGGAATGTTCCTGGCCAAGTTCCTGGCTCTGGGTATGAACCCACAACCTACAGACACATAGAGATGAGTGCTATCCTTTGAACCATGGCGGGTGGGACTCATGAAAGCCAAGTTTCAACGAACTTAACTGTGAATCATTTGAATGCAGCATCATTACCTTTGAAGGTTTATATCCATACGCAGTCACCACCGCAACCTTGAGATCCTCTCTGTTCAGGTAGCCTTTTTGACCCAAATCACATTCCTGAAAAACCTGATTTGTTAAAACGAAAAATGAGATCCAAACCGTACAAACCCTGCACCCATCACCTCCACCTGCCCTCACAACCCCCTACAATTATTAAAAGATTGCTTAATGTTTCAGGTACCTTTTGAAGGTGTATTTTGATCAAGAATCTTGACTATTGTTCATACAACAGAAGAGGTAGCTACACAGCCCATTCTGGGCTGGCTTTTTGAGTAAGATATCCAATCAGACTTTCCCCCAATCTCTCTCCATTGCCATTAGTCATTTGAATTGATACAAGCTTGATGACCAGCACAGACATGATGGGTCAAACAGCCTAATTTTGGTACTATATAAATTTTGTGATTCATTGCCCTGAATTTTTTTCTTGCCTTTTAAGTATATACCCAAATACAGGTAGCCCTTGTTTTCATAGAATCCCTACAGTGCGGAAACAGGCCCTTCGGCCCAACAAGTCCACACTGAACCTCAGAGCAACCCACCCAGACCCATCCCCCTATAACCCACCTAACCTACACCTCCCTGAGCACTACAGGCAACTTAGCATGGCCAATCCACCTAGCCTGCACATCTTTGGACTGTGGGAGGAAACTGGAGCACCCGGAGGAAACCCATGCAGACACAGGGAGAATGTGCAAACTCCACGCAGACAGTCGCCCAAGAGTGGAATTGAACCCGGGTCCCTGGTGCTGTGAGGCTGCAGTGCTAACCGCTAAGCCACTGTGCCGCCCATGAGGGCTTCACATGTCGAGGGGGCTGGCAATTTCACTGAACAGGGTGTTTGGCAGGTACACACAGTTTCTAAACTACCATTAAACATGGACCAAAGCATAGTCCACATTTTCTGCACAACCCTCCAAGCAGCAGAGGGACTCCTCAGAGTGATTAACAGTGCAGCATATAGTTGGAGGGGGTATGACAGAGAGAGAGAGAGAGAGAGAGACATAGCAAGAGAGAGATGGGGGTAGAGAGAGAGAGGGAGGGGGGAGGGAGACACCCAACAAATTATCTCTCAGAGGCATTGAGAGAGAATTAAGGGATTGCCCAAAAGGTTAACAAAAAGATCACATTGAAAGAGCGAGACATGCGGGAATGATTCAAACCAACAACAGTTAGGAATGGATCGGAGATCAGAAAATTTGGTCTTCGCAGGAAGTGTGAAGGTGCAATGGTGGATGTGAGGGGTGGGTGTTGTTGTTGGGAGAACATGGGACTCATTTAAAGAGATACTTCTGGAAGTTGCAGTAGGAAACACTTATAAATTTTCTGGGTAGACCTTCTACGATGGGCAAATGAATCAACATACACTCATTTGATGGGCCAAGTGGCCTCATGGTGTGGTTGTTACAGTTCCTTGATTTATACATTGTAAAGGAAGTGACCAATGTAATGAAAAAAATTAGAGGTGTTATTTACGTTAAACGGATTTAATGGAAATATAATGCTTTACAAGCAGCATTTGACTACATGCCAAGCAGCTGAAAGAAAATGTTTACTGGAATGCTCAGAACCTTGAAAGCCTCATGGCTGGAGGTTAGTCAAATATCTGTGACAAAATCAGACATTAAGAACGTAAGAACGAGAAGCAGGCAATTCAGCCCCTCAAGTCTGCTCTGCCATTTAACATGATCATGGTTGATGTCATCTCGGCCTCAACTCCACTCTCCTGCCTGCTCCCCATAACCTTTCAACCCATTACTAATTAATTAAAATGAATTGCAGATGCTGGAAATCAGAAACAAAAACAGAAATTCCTGGAAAATCTCAGCAAGTCTTGCAGCTTCTGCAGAGAGAAATCACATTTAACTTTTCGGGTCCAGCGACCCTTACTCAGAAATGATGGTAGCTAGGAAAAGGCTGTTTTTTTTGCAGAAAATAGGGTGGGGGGTGGGAATGGTAAGGGGTAAATGATAGGTGGAGATAGAGCCCAAAGACAGAGAACAGTTGGACAGACAAAGGAGCAGATAACGGTCAGTCTTGGAGAATGAATGGCTGCCA